TTCCCTTTGGGCAGGGAGGGGGGTTAACAGAGAGCATCTGTTACTGGTCTGGGGTCACCCTTGAGCCTAAACCGTGACAGCTCTTCACACCATGTAATCTTGCTTTTGCATGAACTCCTACTGAGATTTATTTAGAGGGATTTCAATAAGAAATGCTGTTCTATTTTGTCTTTGCTTGGGACAGACACAGATGCACAGCAAAACAGTTTCCTACATATGTACACAAAATTCCATAAGGCTGCACAGCCGCAACAGAAGGTAAAACACAACTTGAAACTGAGGGCTCTAGTTAGGACTTCAGTATACCTGATTAGAAGACTCTGAGAGGCCTTTCAAACACTCACCATCACATGAAATGGCAAGGTAGTGTGCCAAATCATCAGCTATTTGATGAAACACATTTCTGTCCTTAAACAAACCCGAGATGATCCAATATTCCACTACAGTTCCAAGAATTGCATTTAACAGACCAGCAATTTCATGTCTGAAAGCCTAAAGGGGAAAAAAAAAAAAAGAGTATCTATAGAGACTTGTACTGTGTAACAAAGACACTGATCATGTACCAGTAATAACACTAGAGAACTTCTTTAGATAAAAGCCCACTCCATTGTCACATCAGTTTGTCACTGGCTTCTCTTTTTCTGCTCCAAAGCTAAGTGTTGCAGCCAGGCCAACAAAATTAATATGCCATTGATGCCACATCAATTAAGACCTGCACTGGAGAAATACAAGCTATTGAAAACATCCAGTCTAAAACAACACACAAAATGGGATCAAAGCTTGCAAATACACAGCATGATTTCTCTTTAAATTAGGTTTTGCTTAACTGTAAGATTTGAAGTACTGCATTTATAGTAGCTCAACTTGTTTAATTTACAATTAGAGGGATCTTATTCCCCCTGCTCTATTACAATTCTGGTTTTCTAAAGATTTCACCATGACATTAAAGCTCCTTTTGTGACTGTGTATGTCAGTGCCAAAAGTGGAAATGATGCAAGGTGTTAAGTGTCCTGCACAGCAAAAAAACTTTGGGTTTGTGGGATCAGGAAACTTTCTTCTGTACCAAAAATCCCAGAGACTAGCAGTTGCAAATTCAGGAAGAACACACTTAAGGGTATTTGCATTATCTTTTTCTCCCCTGAACCTGCACAAAATGATCACATGGAGATCAAAAAGCCAAAGTCCATGTTCTTCAGGAGGTATCAAGTCAACATACAGCACCTTAACACACCCTCCAGAACATACTGTGACAGAGAACAATGTATTTCTTCACCCACGTGAGCAAATTCCACCCATCAGTACTGGTGTGGTACAGCAGTGCTTCTAGTGTCTGAGTTATTTGGCAAAGTCAAGTCAGATCTGTCTACTCAACCCCTTTCTGTGCCATGTAGAAGTATTCTATGGAATGATTCTGAAATAAGTTATTCCTCTGAGTACATGTACAAGCACAGAAAATTCTGTATTTGTGTGTCAGTTTTTAAAGTCCAACCTGGAAGAACACATGCACCATACCAGGAACATGTGAAATCCATTTATTCACCCAAAGACACCTACCTGAGGCTGCACCATGGAATCAATACTGCTGCACTAGAGCACCAGACAATACATTAGTGCTTCAAAATGGGCAGTTCTGGACAAGAGGGAAACTGAACTGGATATGTACTTACTTATTTGCCAGCTTTAGATTTGACTGAATTTCTTAAAGGAAACAAAACTTGTCTGTCTTTCCTCATGGTCTCACACCACAGCCAATGGTTTGTCTGATACTATTTTAAGAACAAAATATATTCAACTTTGGTTGAAAATAATTTAACAGGATTCCCTCAGGAGCTGGAAAGCACCAAAGACTGAAACAGTTTGAGCTTCATCAATAAATCAAACAGACATATAGAAGAGCAATAGAGACTGTGACACAGATGAGATTTATAATAAAAAGACTACAAAGTACTTTGCTGAAAACCTACATAAATACTGTCCTTACAGTTAACAGACTTACTCGTCATTCAAAAGAAAAGGAATAAACACAACTACAAATTTTAAATAAATTGCTTGCTGAGGCAGTATAACTCAAGGCTTTTAAGAACTGGCCAGGCAAAAATCTCTTAGGAATGTGATCTCTTCTTCCCTACTTGCTCTTACTTTAAGTATTACCTGATTTGGATTGCCCATTGCTTTACTTTATAATAACACTTTATTGTAAATGAACTGTGGCCTGACATAATTATAAAAAAAAAAAAAACCATGCCTTGGAACATGGATATGGCATGTCAGCAACATGAAAATAATTATTTTTCAACTAATATTTAAACATCTTAAAAGCTATATTATTCCCCATCTTCCAAGGATTCAGGAATAGAAAATGAAGAAATAATTTAAAACATCTGAAATGCATTTAAATATCCCTTAAGTATGCAATCCTCCTTCATTATTGGATCCCACAGCAAAAAAAAAAAGGGGGTGAATGATTTAATTTCATCAGTAGCTCTTTGTAGGAAATAAGTCACACAAATGCAGCAAATAAGCACAATTTAAGCAGAGAGAAGTGACAGGATCAAGGACCTATAGATGTAATCTGAGGTAAATACAGATGTAAAGCACGTGTACTTACATTCCTTCTCTTGTTTCTAAATCACAAGCTTGTAATACTTCATTTATGATATATTTTGAAGGAAAGGGATGGGGACTAGAGGCTGACCATGAGGCAGCAGATTGAAATTATGACTGTTAATACTGCACGTATTAGTAGTGTTTCACAGTCCAATACATAGCTGCATATTAAATGTGGGTGACACGCTAGTTCCAACCACGTTTGCTCAGCTCAGTACCTCTGCACACTGACAAAGACAAACCACAGTCTGCCAACTGCTGCCAGCTTGGTCGACGTTCTGGTAAAACAGTAGTACAGACCAAGAGCGTCTCCTTAATATTTTGAAATAAATGACTCAATGCTACAAACAAGGGGGAAGCGCTGTAATTTCCTGAAAGTAACATCTGTTCTAAAAATATTGAAATATTAACATCTTAAAAATATTTTCAATCACAAACACAGCAATGAAAACACACGCAGTATTAAAAAGGGAGGAGAAAAAAGCACTTCCATTGAACATGAGAGTTGCTACCAGGCAGGACAGCACCAAGGCCTTTTCTCTTCCTCACTCTGCTTCCCCAGCAAGAGGCTGGGGAGCGTGCAAGAAGCTGGGAGGGGACCCAGCAGGGACAGCTGACCCAAAATGATCCAAAGGGCTATTCCACGCCAGGTAAACATTGTGCTCAGCAACAAAGGC